CTACTCGCCAAAGTAGTAGGTGGAACAATGTTTTGTATAGTATGTTATGCCAATTGAGCTTGATGTCCCCTGCGACCATGGTCCCAATTGGCTGTAATCTTTATGGAAGCAGATGGTCAAGTTTTTCTTCGATGGAGCTGCAGGGTAGGTTCCACCACCAACTTTCATGAGTAGTTGAGGCCAAACCATTTGTGTTATCTCTATACATATATATACTTACATATAGACATATATATATATACACATAAAAAACCAACATACATGTACATATATATGTATGTATGTACAGAAAAAAAAATAATAACCTCCCTGCTGTCAAGTTGGGAGCTCTGGTAGCATAGTGGCTAAAGGCACTTGACTGCTGACCAGAAGGTTGGCGGTTCAAACCCACCAGCCACTCCTGGGAAGGAAGATGGGGCAATCTACTTCCGTAGTGATACTGCCACTGAAACCCAAGGAGGGGTCACATGAGTTGGTCTGACTCCGCGGCACATAACAACAACAGTTGTCAAGATGGATCCAACTCATAGCAACCCCTCCTTGGGTTTCCAAGGAGGTATCACTATGAAAGTAGATTGTCCAGTCTTCCTTCGGAGGAGTGGCTGGTGGGTTTGAACCACCAGTCTTCTGGCCACCAAAGCTCCTGTACATACAGATGCCTGGGCATTGAAACCATCTGGCTTCAGTATGACACTAAAATCAGTGTTTAATGTTGTGTCTTTACTTTCTTTTGCCCTTTAGCCTACCAAAAAAATATTCCCAGAACAACCATTTTAATGTGGTTACTCAAAAAAGCATGTGGAAGAATTATTACTTGCCCTAGATTAAAGTCCAGACCAAAGGCTCTCCGAAGTTCTCACTGAAAGATAAGCAACCACTTATTTCAATGTAATAAGGACACCAGTGACATTAAAACGTAAACTCTTCACGCCACCTCAAATCTCTAGTCAGCCCTTAGCTCAAGAAGCGTTATCACCAACCCGTACGGCTTCCGTAGTCTCGCTCGATTTCGCGAGACGAGGGTGACTTCAGAGGCTGCGCCGCTAGAGGTGGCTAGGAACACTTCCGGGACGCAACCATGTAAGCGAATGTGATGTGTGCCTCCGGGTCCGATGGACTGAAGTAGTGGGCACGGAACAGGAGAAGTTAGCAGCCAACTGGCCTTCCTGTCCAGCAAGTTCTAGCCATGGACCGGGACCTTTTGCGGCAGTCGCTGAATTGCCACGGGCCTTCGTTGCTCTCCATGCTCCGGAACGAACAGCAGGACAATCCGCACTTCCGGACCCTTCTAGGGTCGGCGACGGAGCCTGCCCCGGGCCCGCCGCCCCAGCAGTTACAGGGCAGGTAAATTCAGTCGCACCGCGACGAGACTTTGTGAGGGGACGCACCTCGGGGCCCCGTCGTCGCAGCCTGGCAGCCGTTTCTGGGAGGAGCGGAGCTGGGGTTGAGTGCGTGTCAAGAGTGCCTGCCGTGCGGGTGTTCACTGCGGCGTGGAGGAGCGTCCGTGTACCTAGTATGTGGGAAACGGAGGATGTGGTCTAAACTTTTTTCTCTTGCACTGTTTACCTGTGGCGCGGAATTTTTAACCTATATCCCTGGGCTTTCCTTTCTGGCTCTGGGGGCGTCTCTTTTTACGTATCCCCCCGCCCCTCCAACGCCAGCCTCGTGAATGAAGGAATCCCTCGTTAAAACTTTTTCTCCGGGCATAAAATTTAGAATGGAACTGAATGAACAATGAAAGGCATAGCAAAGCTTGCAGATATTATAAGGCATTGCAGATAAACCTGTTTTCATAAGTTTTCTTTCTTTTTTAAGAAAAGAGAAGAGAATTGACAACACTGAAATACAAACATTCATTTCCAAAAAAGCAGATCTTCTTTTTGCACTTTCCTGGAAATCAGATGCACCCGCAGTTTCTGAAGTGAATGAAGACAATGAAGGTGAGTTTAGTCTTAAACTATTTCAAGATTGGTGATGTGGTTCAACTGCTTACAGATGAAATAAAACTCAAAAATAATGTCAGTGATTTTTTTTTTTTTTTTTTTCCAGATCACTATGCAATCATGCCACCTTTAGAACAATTCATGGAGATACCTAGTATGGACCGGAGAGAGCTGTTTTTTCGAGACATTGAGCGTGGTGATATAGTGATTGGAAGAATTAGTTCCATTCGGGAATTTGGGTTTTTCATAGTGTTGATCTGTTTAGGCAGTGGCCTCATGAGAGATATCTCTCACTTAGAAATCACAGTAAGTTAATCATTCTTCAGTTATTTGAATTCTGTTTTTGATGGTCATCTGAATGCAAGAATTATGTCTTGCATCTAGTTGGGAATAAAAGTATTAACTAGAGAGAACTAACAAAATCAAACTGACTGCCATGGACTTGATTCCAACTCAAAGCAACGCTATAGGGCAAAGTAAAACTGCCTCATAGGGTTTCCAAAGCTGTAAATCATTATGGAAACAGACTGCCTCACCTTTCCTGTAGAGTGGCTGAGGGGTTTGAACTTCCAACCTTTTGGTGAGCAGCCTAGTGCTTTAACCACAGACCCACCAGAGCTCTTTAGAACTGAAGTTGTTATAACAGTGAAAGAGTTACACAGTTTCCTTCTCCATTTTAGGTTTTTGGCTTTTTTTTGGTCTCTTTGGTTGGAGGGGTGGCGTCCTGTTTTTTAAAGCGCAAAGTGGTTTTAGTGAAGATGGTGAGGTTTCTTGATATTTTGGGCTTATTTTCATGTGGGTTAGAGGAAAATTTTTGACGTCTTTAACATAAATAATTTGTACATTATAAGAAGACACTTTGCCCACAATGAATAGTCCTAAATTTGAAATAATATGTAACTTTAAAAGATATAGTCAGAAGAAAAAAGGAAGAAAAGCAGAAGGCTATTAATAGACTGGATAATAGACATCTAACCTTTGGGGAACCAACATTCCATTTTCTTTGGGATCTTAGATTTTTGACAAGTGCAAACTGTATTTTTGTTTCATAATCCATATTTATATTTGGTTCCTAAAACTAATTGAAAGATTTCATGAGATTTTAGTTTCTCAACTAAACCAGAAAACATGTTACTCTGGGCACAGAAAATAACTCGTAATTAAAATCCTCAGTTTAGACTTTAGGGTGCTGTTTGATTTTTGTTTGTGTCAACTATTAGCTATTACACTGAAGAACTAGAATAAAAGAAGACACTGTTCTCAACAAAGAATGATACTTTGTTCTTTTAAAATACTTTGCATTGCAGGCTCTTTGTCCACTGAGAGATGTGCCTTCTCACAGTAACCACGGTGATCCTTTATCATATTACCAAACTGGTGACATCATCCGAGGTGATTCGTTTTACCATATTAATAAAATAGTAACAGTTGTCAAATTTTTGTTTTTATTGATTTGAAAATGTAGTCTGAGAATAATGTTCAGAAGGTTTACTTTTTATATATTAGCTTAATTCTTTTTTTTTTTTAGCTGGAATCAAGGATGTTGATAGATATCATGAAAAGCTTGCAGTATCTTTGTACAGCTCATCTCTTCCACCACACTTATCTGGTATTAAATTAGGTGTAATTAGTTCTGAAGAGCTTCCTTTATACTACAGGTAATTTATTCACATTGTTTCAAAAACAGTTTATTATAGGAGATAAAAACACATTTTGTCAAATTTTAGATAACAGTAGAATTTAAATTTTTATTATAAAATGTGCTTGTTTTGTTTTTATAACCCTTAAATTATTTCAAATTTCGTAAAAGGAACTGTATTGCCATACCTTGATGTACAAATATGGTATGTGTATTTAAACCTTATAAATGTTATTCCTTTAATAGAAATGAGATATGCTAATTAGCTATTATGGAAGAACTATAAAAATATTGTGTGATATAGAATATTCATAACAACTGGAGTCTCAAATACAAGGTTTTTTTTAATTAGTCATTTTAATGTTTTGTTGTGATTCTATCTTTTTTAAGGAGGAGTGTTGAGCTAAACAGCAACTCTTTGGAGTCCTATGAAAATATCATGGAGAGTTCCTTGGGATTTGTTAATCCAGGAGTAGTTGAATTCCATCTAGGAAAACTAGGAATAGATGAATCTAATCCACCATCTTTAATGAGAGGCCTACAAAGGTATTATGAATCAGTGTTATTCCCTTAGGTAATGAGGGGAATAGAATTGAGCTCAGAAGCTACATAGCTGAGAGGTTTACTCGGCCATTGTAAGCCTGGTCTCACAGCAGTATGCCCACAGTTCAGTGAACCAGGTGATCCCATCTCCCTCTGGAATGGAGTCTCTTACCAATGATTAGATGTGAACTATGTGACCAAGTAGAGAGCTGCAGTCATGTGTCACTTAACACCTACCATTTGCTCTCTGAATTAGGACACTATATGTTTTGGATATTGTGTGAACACCATGTTGTAGTCTGATCCTGCTTTTCTTCAAGCGTCTTGAACAGGCTTAGTGATCCTCATATGCTGAGAGAAACTCACTTTTGTGTTTGGTCTTTAATCCATGTCATTAGCAATTCCTCCATATCTGATATAGGTCCCGATCCCATTTTTATTAGCCTTATAGCTTTCAGTGGAACTGATCCTATAACATCTTAGAGAATTTTTTTTCTTTGTTTTTGAGGATCATTGTGGTAGTCAAATGTGACATGCCTAAATCACAAGCAGTAGCATGCCTTGATTTTCCACCTTCCTGTTAGTAACCTTTTGTTTCACTTCCAAATTGTTACTTTTCCTTTGTCTCTTGCTGCTGCCACCACTTGCACTGGTTTTGCTGCATTTGGGAGCCATGATGCGCTTCGTGGTAATATTTTCAAAAGAAAATTGAACCTAATGCTGCGACACTCAAGAAATGAGATACACAAGATTGGATGCTGCTGCCTACAAGTTGAAGCATACACTATTAAACAGTAAACTTTATACATAGAAAGTACAGTGCATACATGAGCCAGTGACATAGGCATTTATTATGACCGTCAAGGCATATATTATCGGTTGTATATGTATTGTACCATTATATACTTGGCAGAGCAATCACTTTGTATACAAGAGACATGAGATGCATGTGGGCAGCTGTTGTGTTTGCTGTGTCCCATTCTCCGATTAGGATTTCTGAATTCTGTCACAACCTTATGGGAACACAGACAGATAAGTGGTTGGGCATTGCCTGAACAGATGTTACATGGCATATGACTGTATATAGAAATTTCATAAGACTGTTAATTATTTTCTAAAGAAAGAAATACTGACAGTTCATGCATTTAGTCTGTAAATAGAATACAAATTTCTTGCTTGGGATTCATTCAGTGTTGAATGTGTTGATATCAGAAATAAGTATAGTGTTTTAAAAGACACATTTACAGTTTGACTTTTATTTTCTTTAATAGCAAAACTTTCTCTGAAGATGATTATGCTTCTGCATTAAGAAAGAAACAGTCTGCCTCTTGGGCTTTAAAATGGTATGAAGACTTTGTCTTTCAGCATTTGCTTTGTATCTACTTCCATAGTGCTATTACCTCGGAAACCCAAGGAGGGGTTACTATGAGTCGGATCCAACTCGATGGCAGCGAGTTTAGTAGTAGTGTAAAAGGTTAGGGAAATAAATCAAGCATTCTGTATCATCATTAAGACCAAATGTGTTTGTAAATGAAATAAAATCTTTTTGACATTAGCTCTTTTTATAAATGGTATTATGTTGTTAACATTAAATTTTACCCGCACATTTTTGGTTTTTCCAGAAGGAAATAGCATATTAATATCTGGAGTTCATAAATATCTGTTATGAAACTATTTGAAGGCAAAATCCTTCTTAACATTTACTGAGAGTTTTGAAAACAAAATTATTTGCCAAATTTGATGACACTTGATTTTAAATACATTTGTTCTAACATTTTATTGGCTATTCTGTGAACTGTTTGTGATGCTTTATAAATGTCTTTTTAGTGTGAAGATTGGAGTTGATTATTTTAAGATTGGACGCCATGTTGATGCTATGAATGAATACAATAAAGCTCTGGAAATAGACAAACAAAATGTGGAAGCTTTGGTAGCTCGTGGAGCATTGTAAGTGAATCATAGACTTTCAGGAGTGTTTACAAGGTAATGTGTACAATATGTCTGTATAGCTTAGAAGATAAGTTCTTCTAACTTTATTTCTTCATGTTTCTAGATACGCAACAAAAGGAAGTCTGAACAAAGCAATAGAAGATTTTGAACTTGCATTGGAAAACTGCCCAACTCACAGGAATGCAAGAAAATACCTCTGCCAGACACTTGTAGAAAGAGGAGGGCAGTAAGTGTCAGACATTTTTAATTATTTCTAGGTGCCAAAGTGACAGAAATACTGCCTGGTTATGTGCCATCCTCTAAATCCTTGTCATATCTTGTTTTTAATGATAGAGGTCTAATATTCAACTGTAAGGAGTGTGGCTCGGGTTAAACACTGAGATGCTAACCAGAAAGTTGGCAGTTCAAACCCACTGGCTCTCTGCAGGAGAAATATGAGGTAGTCTGCTTCTGTAAAGATTTCAGCTTTGGAAACCCTGTGGGGCAGTTCTTTTGTCTATAGGGCCTCTATGAGTTGGAATTGACTTGACGGCAATTGGTTTAATATTAAACCAGCTACTATAAAATCTTGACATTAACATAAGGAAATATCATCATTAAATCAACTCAGAACACTCTCAGTTTTAATTTTGATTGAAAATTTTTTTTTTAATACAGTACTACTTTTTAAGTTTTCTAGTCCTTTTTTTCTGTCTTATTACTAAGCTTCTTTATGATTAGAGAGATTCTTCTTGTCTCAAGTTCTTTGTCCTTAATATCTATTCTCATTATGTAGAAGTATAAATGTAAAGGTACAGGATATTAAGTAAGTGTCCTAGGACATACATTGAAAGTTTTTATTTATTAATAAACATGAATTTAATTTCTAATTCATTTTCTTATTCTAATATTGTCATGCCAGAAACGTGAATCGAGGATCCTATCATTAATTGTAAATGAAGATTCACAAGTTATATTAAGCTTATCACTCCACTCTGTCCAGTAAAACCTGCAAATTCAGATTAGGAACAAACCATATCACTTACATTACTGTCTTGAGTTGCCTGGCATAGTAATTGCATTGTAAATATTTAATGAATTAATAAACCAAAAAAACAAACTCACTGCGGTCGAGTTGGATCCAACTCACAGTGACCCCCCCTTGGGTTTCTGAAGTGGTATCACTACGGAAGTACGTTGCCCAACCTTCCTTCTGAGGAGTGGCTGGTGAGTTTGAACTGCCAGCCTTCTGGTTAGCAGTCAAATGCCTTGGTATTATGCCATCACAGCTCCCAGTGGATTAATCTAAATTACAGAGTGTTTCAAGAAACATGTTGTTGTTATGTGCCATCGAGTCGGACCCAACTCATAGCAACCCCTCCTTGGGTTTCCGAGGCAGTATCACTATGGAAGTAGATTGCCCCATCTTCCTTCCAAGGAGTGGCTGGTGGGTTTGAACTGCCAGCCTTCTGGTTAGCAGTCAAGTACCTTAGGCACTACATAGTACTTCAAATATAAATCTGGTAACAGTCTGTTTTAATAATTAAAAACAAGTTTATAGGTAATAGCATCTTTTTGCTGTTAATTCTTTTAATTAGGTACATTTCTCTCCTGTTTCATGAATATGCTTAATCATTCCTATTTGTGTGATGATTTCAGTTTGTGTGATCACAAATACCAAATGAATTGAGATTTTGCGATATTTGATTTTAGACTCATGTAGAATCATGTAGATTTCTGGTTGGATAAGTGATTGGAGCAACTTTTTACTTTCTCACTAGATAGATAGCTTATACCTACTTAGATATGGTTGTCTTACTATGCATGTGTTGGTGTCTTTTAACTGAGTGAATGGCACTTCCAACAATCTAATTATCCAGGCCAGAGATGTCATCTTTGACTTGTCCCTTACTCACAAGTGGTACACTGACATAGAAGTAATCTCATTGAAGCCATTGGTTGTTTTAAATCATAATTACCTTTTCAACCTTTCTAAAACTATTTTATAAAATCCTTTCACTGCTCTATATACAAAGTTTCCAGTTCTGATGTTTCATAGCATAGATTTGTGATCTTCATACTAACCTGTCTACAGAGTGGTTTTGATAATGTATGTGTGTTAATGTTTCCAAATGCCTTTGATGATGTTGTCTATAAAAAGGAAAATTGTTTATAAACTATTAGGAAAAGCCTATATAATTCTGTCCTAAAGGTCAAGATCATACTAGATTTGTAGAGGACATTATGTATTCTATATATTATTACTAAACTTTGCCAATTCTGAACACATACCATGGCAGTATCTCTATGGAAGTAGATTGCCCAGTCTCCCTTCCAAGGAGTGGCTAGTGGGTTTGAATCACCAGTCTTCTGGTTAGCAGTCAAATGCCTTAGGCACTATACCACCAGAGCTTCTTATTATGGTTTTAGTTGTTAGTAATCGCTGTGTGTGTGCACGCGCTTTGGTAGCATAGTGCCTGAGGCATTTAACTGCTAACCAGAAGGTTGGCGGTTCAAACCCACCGGCTACTCCTCAGAAGGAAGGTTGGGCAATCTATTTCTGTAGTGATAGCGCTTTGGAAACCCAAAGGGGAGTTGCTATGAGTCAGATCTGACTTGACAGCAGGTAACAACAACACACACACACAGAACAAAAACCAAACACACTCATTGCCATTGAGTCAATCCTGACTTAGAGCAACCCGTCCCATTTATTTATTTATATAAATGGGAGCTCCTTATGGCTTTAGTAATTGGTTTATTGTGTGTGTGTGTATGTGGTGGTGGTGTTATATGCCGTCTAGTTGGACCCAGCTCACAGTGACCCCTCCTTCGGTTTCCGAAGCAGTATCATCACTACAAAAGTAGATTGCCCTGTCTTCTTTCCGAGGAGGGTGGGTTTGAACCACTGGCCTTCTGGTCAGAGGTCAAGTGCTTTAGGCACTACACTACCAGAGCTCCTATATTTCTTCTTAGGAAATTCATAATTGAAATTAATGTCAGACTTAATTTTTTTCTAGAGAGAGAACTTCTTAAACGATGAATAAGACAAGTTTCTACTTTGTAAATACAGCTTTTACTAATTGGATTTGATTTTGACTTCATAGTGCCTCTTCATGTTTATATAAATAAATGGGCACTCTGGTGGCGTAGTGCCTAAGGCATTTAACTGCTAACCAGAAGGCCGGTGGTTCAAACCCACTAGCCATTCCACGGAAGGAAGACGGAGCAATGTACTTCAGTAGCGATACCGCCTCGGAAACCCAAAGATGGGTCACTGTGAGTCGGGATCAACTCGACAGCAGTGAGTTTGTTTGTTGTGTATGTGTATGTGTATATGTATACTTTAACTTTATTTTGTTGAGAATATACACAGCAAAACATAACACTGATTTTGCAGTTCTACAGGTACAATTCGGTGACATTGATTACGTAACTTTGAGATGTGCAACCATTTTCACCCTCCTTTTCTAAGTTGTTCCTCCCCATTAACAAAAACTCACTGCCTCCTAACGTTCTGGTCTAATCTTTAGAGTTAACCGTTGTCAATTTGATCCCATATAGATAGTTCTTGAAACAACATAATGTTCGAGGCACACAGTTTTTACTAGTTAAGCTGAACTACTGTCTGGTTTTAAGAAGACTTCAGGGAATATTTTTGGTTTAAGGTTTAAAGATTATCTTAGGGAAGTAGTTTCAGGAGTTGATTTCTGTGTGTTTTATGTGGTCTTTTTTCCAAATAAATATAAAGCACATGATTTATGTGTTATTTTGGAAAATAATTTGCTAAACATAACTTTTACCTAATAACTCCTCTCCTGTAAGTTTCTGACCATATTCCTTTCAAATACAGGTTAGAAGAAGAAGAAAAGTTTTTGAATGCTGAAAGTTACTATAAGAAAGCTTTGGCCTTGGATGAGACTTTTAAAGATGCAGAGGATGCTTTGCAGAAACTTCATAAATACATGCAGGTGATTCTTTATTTCCTCTTAGAAAATTTGTGATAATTGAAATTAATGTCAGACTTAATTTTTTCTAGAGAAAATTTCTTAAACGAGGAATAAGACAAGTTTCTACTTTGTAGATACAACTTTTACTAATTGGATTTTATTTTGACTTCATAGTGCCTCTTCATGTTTATTTGTTAGTACTTAGAAGCTTAAAAATAAAAATCATGCAGTGAGAAAATTTTGTTGCCTAATTTGGCATGTAGTTTTGAGAACTGTTCTTATAGCGCTCTTTCCTGGTGGTTAACAAAATTATCAGTATTGCTACTATAATGAGCCAATTGTAAGCCTTTTTGAGAAGTATTTTAAATTGTCTTTTCCTGTAATACTGATGATGATGTTTTCTCATGCATTTTCTTCTGAATTGGACCATTGCTGCTGTGTCTGTGACATCTGGTGCTGCTCATCCCCATCCACAAACTGGAAAATGATTTCTTATGTAATCATGCATCCAACTGGGCTGTGCTATTTTTAAAATGGTTTGTATATGAACATGGTGATTCCTCCCTTAATTCACCTTAATGGAATTTCTTTATTTATCTTAAAATTTGTGTCCTATTTAAATTTTTATTTGTTTATCATAATAATTCTTCATGTATTTTACTTTTTACTTATATCTTGCACTCTGGGTCATGGGTGCAATGCAATGGCTTCCTCTTTTTTCATGGGATACAAACTGCAATATGGTCCTCAATACTGTTCTGGCCTATCCAATGATTAATGCCAAACATCTGTATGATTAATGCCAAACATCTATATGATTAATTTTTTACATGTTAAAAAATACTTGTTTAATCCTGGATATATGGTGATTTGGGTGTACCAAACCTGGTTGCTGGTTGGGGATTGGTGTTTTGAATACTGGGTTTTATTATATTCTACTATTTTTAACGTGTGGTTTTTTCTGATATCTGGGTTCTAAAAGAAATCTTTGGAATTAAGAGAAAAACAAGCTGAAAAGGAAGAAAAACAGAAAACAAAGAAAATAGAAACAAGTGCAGAAAAGTTGCGTAAGCTCTTAAAAGAAGAGAAAAGGTAAACTAAAATATATAGTACTTTTTAACCTAAAGCAACTACTGAATTGAACCAAAGTGCCATATGGAAGTAAAGTAAGTTAAAAAAAAAAAAAAAAAGTATAATTTCAAGTGATGATGGGTACTAAGAATTCTTAAGACTAAAATTCTAACCCCCCTCCAAAAAAAAAAAACCCTCAGAGTGAAAATATGTAATGAGTTATTTTGTTGCTATTTAGAGAGAAATGTTTTAGAAGTAGCAGTGGTTCTCAAAGAGTGTGATTTTACCCTCCAAGGGACATTTGTCGATGTCTAGAGTGCCTAAGGCAATTTGACTGCTAACCAGAAGGCTGGTGGTTCAAACCCACTAGCTACTCCTCGGAAGAAAGATTGGGCAATCATCTTCCGTAGCGATGCCGCCTCAGAAACCCGAGGGGTCACTATGAGTCAGATCTGACTGAACAGCAGTGAGTGAGTAGAGACATTTTTTGTTTTTTTTTAACTGGTGAATTGCTACAGGCTTCTAGCAAATAGAAGCCAGGGATGCTGGTAAATATCCTGTAATGCGCAGGACAGTCCCCCCATAACAAAGAATTATTGGGCCCAAAATGTCATTAATGCTAAGGTGGAGAAACCATGAACAAGGGGGCTATAGTTCTTTCCTTTGTGTGTTTTGGTAGTCTTAAATTTTTATAATAGTGTTGGAAAGGGTGGATTTGCTTATAGTGACACTGCCTACACAAGTATTTTTCCTCAAAAGTCATGCTTAATTGTAAAATTACATCTTGTATTAGCAGATGATTATCAGTTATCCACATTAACAGCTTTCAGAAATCTTTAAAGAGAACTAAACAGTACCAAAATCTTTATGGGGATTTTGGCTTTGTACTTAATCACAGCTGATGAATTAACTACATTTTTTAGGTTAAAGAAGAAAAAAAGAAAATCAACTTCTTCCTCTTCAAGTGTTTCTTCTGCTGATGAATCAGTTTCTTCATCATCCTCTTCCTCTTCCAGTCATAAAAGGCATAAGAAACGTAAGCGGAACCGTTCAGAGTCTTCTCGCAGTTCCAAAAGGCATTCATCTAAGGCATTCTCAACTCAGATAGATCAGAATAGGAAAGAGGAGTACTACCCACTTCCAATCAATACTTCAGCATCTTTTCTTAACCAGAAACAAGAAGTGGAAAAACTGCTGGAAAAGCAGGATAGGTTACCATATCAAAAGACACAGGTAAAAGAGAAAGATAGATATCCTGTCTCTTCATCTTCTGTTGAAATTCCGGATGATTTTGGAGGTAGGTCTGAAGAGCCAAGAGATTTTTATAATAGCTCTAAAATTCAGGCAAGCAATAGCAAAACAGAAAAGCCATATAAATCAGAAAGACATTTTTCCAATAGAAGAGATTCCTCAGATTCCTTCTATAGGAATTCAGAGGACAAAATGAAAAATTATGGTTACAGGAGATTTGACAGGGATGTAGAGGGAAGAAAAGAACACTAGAGAAGGTGGGAACCAGGTTCAGGGAGATATTCTACGTCACCAGCAAGCTCAGAGTATTCTTGGAAGTCACTTGATAAATATAAAAAAAGTACTTACTCTGGATCATGTGATTTTAGTAAACATGAGCAAAGATACCAGTTAAATACAAATCAAGGAGAGTATGAAAGGGAGGACAATTATGGGGAAGAGTCTAAAATGGAGGTTTCAAAAGAAGATGGACTAAATAGCAAAGAGCAATCAGAAAGTAAAGTTAAAAAGAATTTACCTCAAAATTTACTCAATATATTTAACCAGATAGCTGAATTTGAGAAAGAAAAAGGAAATAAGCCAAAAAATTAATTTACATGCCAAGGAAATCACCATTACACTAAAGACTTACTTAAGTTTTTTTGTGTCTTTTAGTCATAGCAGTTTAGTGCAGATATCTCTGCTTCTGAAATTTTATTTGTGGAGATTTTAAAAAGCAAAATAGATTGTTTTTGCTTTTTCTGAAATAACATTTGTTAACAGTTGTAGGTCTGCTCTTCACAGCTTGATCTTTAGACATTCATGTGATGTTTATGTATAGCATTTCCTATCCTGACTGATGATTTAACTTGTTTACTTATAAAGAATTCTCTGAAAGTATTGTTTCTTCATTGTATGATAGCGTATGAGAATTCCTGGATGCACCTTACTCTTTCTGCTGATTGAGAGAAAATTAAATTTTTGTGTTGAACACTTGGATTGTTTTCATCAAAAATTATTTTCTGTTAAGTTAAAAGCCCTCAGCTTTTGAAAGAGATGATATATTCAAATGTTCCTTAAGTACCATTTTACATCTGTCATTTAAGTATTAAATTTTTTTTACAGAATTGTTTAATTTATAGTATTAGATTATCTATCTCCTTTAATAGGCCTCTGAGGCCTGATTTAATTAAAATGGTTTATGTACCACTGGCTTCTAGGAAGCCAAGTACTTACTTAACAGATACTTTACTATAATAGGAATTAAGGCCATGAAGTTGAAATAGGAGCCCATTTTGCTTATTTCTCCATTACTAAGTTTTACCTTATTACTAGCATTAGAGCCCTAAAACATTTTTAATACTGGCAAAACTCTTAGAGATATCTTCATTCCAGGAAAGAGTAGATCAGAATAGGAAAGCACAGAGCAGTGACAAGAGAAGCCCGCTGTAAATCTCAACTTTCCTTTAAAAAAAAAAAAAAACCAAACTCACTGCTGTCGAGTCAGATCTGACTCATAGCAACCCCTCCTTGGGTTTCTGAGGCAGTATCACTGCAGAAGTAGAATGCCCAGTCTGTCTAATGAGGAGTGGCTGGTAGGTTTGAACCGCCAGCCTTCTGGTTAGCAGTCAAATGCCTTAGGCACTACACCACCAGAGCTGGGCATGTTTTCAAATAGTCTACAGCTGGCTTAACATTTCCACTTTTCTTCTCACCCCTGATACCTCATTTCTCAGGATCTGTGAATGAAAGGCTAGACCAGTTGGGCCTGATTTTTTAGAATAAATTCCAATAGCTATAGCTAAAGAAGGAAAGGGCTTGGCTTATAAGGATCTTCCTAAAATAACTATAAGCAGAGTATAATGTACTCTTTAGGAGATAAAGATAGGAGTTGTAGGCACCTTTGGGTTTATGATGGTCTTTAGAATATTTGCAATTTAAGGTTCTAGAAGCTGTAAGTGATGGTGGGCTTTTAGTACTATCATGATGAAACTGGATGGTTTGGTGTGGCTATCCGTTTACACCTGTCTAAATGAAAGAAAATGATGAAGAAGAAGAGGCTTTTTTTTTTTGTCTTGTGGCTCTTGCCAACAGTATAATACCAAATCTTTAAGTTCTGAATGTGCACAAGTTTGTCCTTCAACTTCCAGTGTTAGGAGTCTAATGAAAAAGCTGCAGTGGAATGGGAAAAGAAATCCTTGTCAAAAGGAGTAGATAATGGTAGAAACATGCCAGTCACTCAAGCATTAGTCTTTTTACCAAGACACCCATCCTAAGAGTCCCCAGTTCTGTGTATCATCCTTACATAATTGTGTTTGTTTTTAAAGAGGGAAAACTACCTCTTGGATATTCACTGACCTTTTTGAGCATCACTATGAACAGCATTGTAATTTACCACAGCTGCTTGGTAGTTTAATGTTAACAATTAGGGCACCAAAAAGACTAGGATAATACCCTATCCAGCAGGCTGCTTGAATTTTGAAATCTTCCCCAGAGCCACTTTCCAAGGCATATTAAACTTCAGCAGAGTACACAGAACAGTTTCTAAGAAGGTGTTCAGGAAGCCTATCAGCAAAAACCACTGAGATTGTATAACATCAAGAATCCCTAGTGATAGCTTCAATAATTTTTTTTTCTTATATGTATATAGTTTCTATATACAATCAGGCCTTGTTTTGCATAAAGTAGATGAAGCATGATTTTCTCATACAATAGGTAACTCCCTAAAATGTAGCTCCAGATTTGAAGACACAGGGGTGATCCCCTATGTCATTTAACATTACACTGAAGCTGAATCTGCTATTTAAGACTTAAATGTAGCCTTTCACGTTGGCCTGAGAACTTAACCATTCCAAAACTCTCATGCTGCCATCTTCAGTGGTAATTGAGTAATAGAATTGTGCAATTACTATGTATCAAGCCCTGTATATATTTCAACAGTTTACTGAAATAACATAACTTAAAAACTTAATCTTAACCATATTCCAAATAAGGAAAAAAGACAATTAACTTGCCCAAGGTCACAGAGCTAAGACAACACAATTGCTGCCTTCATAGAAGTATTTATTATTTCACACTCCAAGAAATTTACAAACTGACAGTATAGGCTGAGAGAACTTTGTGAACATATAAAATGATTGTAAGGTCCGTCAGGTTTTAGATCTTATAAAATCTCATATATTAATATATTTTAGCCAAAAATTATATTGCCCAGATTTTTATTCATCTTATTCACTAGACATGGCTAAGCCTATTATTATTTACCAAAAAAAAAAAAAAAAATCAGGAGAAACAAGTTTACTACCACTACTGCTTTTCAGAAGGAATTGCAAATGACAGGTCTAAACAACAAGTTGTAATGAATATTCCAAGGTTGTTGCTTCAAAGGAGACGATACTGATGAAAGTGCATACTTTCTTACACATTTCTTTAAAAACCAGTTTTGTAACACTAATCATCCTTCCACTATAAGAGTTCAAAGTGTTGGGCACGTGTTATAATAAAGTATTAATTAGTTCTAATCTGGTCGGCTACCTCCCCAATAAATAATGGAATTCCTATTGTAAATCAGTCACATCTGGCTTTTCTTATTAAATCAAGGAAATTACCAAAGTACATTCTTACTCAACTGTACTTGGTTCTGTCTTAAGAGCAAAATTTTTGATGGTTTGAATTTGTGAGGATGCAGTTTTTCTGTTGATAAACAATTTCTAATCAATTTTTGGGGAAGAGTAGATGGAATTTAGGGGTTCAAAATTATACCAAAAGAAGAAACTGCCTTTTATAGATTTTTTTCTTTCCCAGAAGTCTGGAAATACGTTTTCTTGAATAAAGAAAACCTAATTTTAGGACCTTCTGAACGAGAATTCTACTAGTGTTACAAACTCTCAATAGTACAATGAATCCTTAAAAATTGTCTTCCTTATTAGGAATCTATTACCGTTTTCTTCTGTATCAAGAAAATAGTAGAAAAAACTAAGGAAATAAAACACTGGACCCAGGTTACTTTTTTTTTTTTTTTTTTTACCTCCATCGGTGCTTTATCTTTTTCACTTGGCTAGAACTTTTATCTGGTCACTTTATTTGTAATAATATTTCAGTAGGATTCCATGTATCATGATAATAGCACCCAAAAGAACAGAGTAGAATTTACTATTTTAAAGTAGGGGAGTTTTGTTTTTACAACTTAAAAAAGAGATCAAAATGTTTTATTTGTTGCTCTTTCTGCTTTTACCATTACTGGAGCTACTACTAGATGTACCTGGCCTGGAAGTACTATCTGCTACTGAAGAGGAAGCTGGCAATTTTAGCTCTAATACTTTAATGGGAGCCTGAAAAGCAGAAGTACTTGCAGTACTCCTAGATGACCTGAAAGAAAAAACAGAATTGTAAATTTAAAATTTTACATTTTAGTATAAATCTGCCCCCATTGGCATGTTGTTGTTACATGCTGTTGAGTCGGACCTGACTCATAGTGACCCCTCCTTGGGTTTCCAAGGCGGTATCACTATGGAAGTAGATTGCCCAACCTTCCTTCTGAGGAGTGGCTGGTGGGTTTGAACCCCCAGCCTTCTGGTTAGCAGTCATGTGCTTTAGGCACTGTGCTACCAGAGTACCATAATTCCATAATAAAAAGTATGTATTATCACGTTAATAAATTTTAAAAGCATGAACAATAATAGCAAAAATAAGTAAGAGAAAGATAATGAACTTCACACCAGTAGAAAAGTAGTTCATAAACTGAGTTTCTGAACAAGAAAAGCAGTCCCTGGGTGGTACAAACAGTTAACACGCTCAGCTGCTAAGTGAAAGATATGGAGGTCCAGATCCATCCCGAGGCTTTTCAGAAAAAAGGTACAGAAGTGTGCTTCTGAAAGCCATAGCAGCCCCTGTGGACTGACTGCAGGTCTGCTCTGACACATGGGGTAACCAAGCGTGAGTCCACTCAGTGGCAACTAATAAATACAAACGTTTTAAAACCAGTGCCTAGAGTTTTCATCACTAAAGCATTGAAAGTTTACAAGATGGTGTGACACAAGAAGATGGCAAGAGAAGCTGGGTGTTGGCAAGAGCAATTAAAATCATGTTATTTGCTGTTGAGTCAGTCCCAAGTCAGCAACCTCCTTGGGTTTCTGAGGCAGTATCACTATGGAAGTAGACTGCCCAACCTTCCTTCCAAGGAGTGGCTGGTGGGTTTGAACTGCCAGCCTTCTGGTTAGCCGTCAAGTGCCTTAGGCGCTACGCTACCAGAGCTCACATTAAAATCATAGTTTATGTAATTTAAAGTGAGAGAAAAGCAACAGACCTGTTGATAGGAATAAAGTGGTTGGAGTTAATGAACTGGGGGTTCCAGTGAGGTTAGAGATACAGGGGAGAGGGGAAGGTACGGGGTGGGGTAGTGGAGCAAGTCATCTGGTCAGAATGGGGCATCTGGATTTGTGGTTTCAAAGGTGAAGTGGTTTTGTATGGTGACTAGGCCCAGGGTATATGCTTTTGAAGAGGATGACAGGAGTGGAGGTTTTGGTTATTGGAGATGTTGGAGAATTGAAAACCCAGGGTCTTTTAAGTTTAGAGTAAAATGTAGTCTGTGAGAATAGAATTACTACCTTCTA